AGTGCCATTTTTTGTTGACATAACAGATTTGTCTATTTAACTCAGAAACGCGAAGGGCTTTGGTCTTTAGTTCTTTGGAGGCGCGATTTTATTGCTAGAGCTCATGGAAGCCTTGAGGAGCTTGTGGGAACATCTCCTTCTCTTCCTTTGGGTCTCCTTCTTCTTTCATCCACCATGTTTGTAAGATTTAGGGTTCTCCATGGAAGTGGAGAACCAGATTCATCTTGTTAGGGATTGTTGTAGCCTATGAATTATTGTGTAATGAATGATTGATTTGATTATATATATGCTTTTTCTATCAATTGCTAGTATTCTTGTTTCCAATCTTAAAGCTTGCATGTAATAAAAATGTTCATAACTTGAATTTGGGGTTTCATGGATTATGGGGACGTAAGATGAAAACTAGAACTGAAACAAGAATCCTTGTGATCATTGATTCTAGGGATGGAAGATGATTCACATGTTGCCTTAAGATCCTAGCTCTTTAATGTGGGTTTGTTTGTTATATTTTCAAAGGGATTGGACTTTAATAGGGAAAACCTAGGCTCCTTCACCTAAGGAATTAGGGATAAAGTGTTTTTGTGGATTGACTTTAGTAAACTGATGGAGAGGAGATGAAATTGGGTAAGCACAAGAGTGAATTAGGTGAAAACTAACCTTAACAATATCATTTTATATCATTTCTAGTCAATGTCATATCTATGTGCCTTCAATACCAAAGTCCAACCATTGTATATTTGTGAATTTATCTTGTTGCACATATTTATAAATAAATGTTGTTCTATTGAGTCTAGATGAGTTGTTAATCGCATAATTCTCTAGTATTACGAGTCTCTTAGAAAAATGATACCTGGTCTTACCATGGTTTATTACTTGAAACGATTTGATGCACTTGCCGAAATCTCCTAACATCCGCTCGTTAAATGGGGTTGGGTATCTCTGACCTCTGTTCAAGACTCTTGTCTTTTCAAACCATATTCGGAGTCCTTTAAGAACTTCAAGAAGAGGTATTTTAAAGTGATAATCAAAGAGGTTGACCGCTCTCAATTTCACACCGAAGAGGGCGATCCCTTGTTCCCCTTTTATTGAACAAGGGATCCTGTGAAGATTAATGTCATATCGGTCGGCCTCATGACCCCTGTCGAAATAGAGGCCGTTAAGACCATTAACGCCTTACCCTGCCGTCTCCATGCCCGCAATCTAGTTGAATGTCCTTGCCATGAAGATTTTGATCAAATGGCGTTCGGTATGGCATTTGCCACTATCTATGCGTTATTTTGATATTAACTTAGCTAAATTTGTGTTTTCTTTTAAGATATCATATCTCTCGGCGCCCCGGAAGAAAAGTTATGTGTCGTCGTCTAAGAAAAGGGATCCTCGGTCGGCTAGTTCGAACCACGCGACGACTACCGCTTAATCTCGGATGGTAGTGAAACTGACTTCCCAGACGACAGCGACGACTGAATCTGCTCAACCGACTCCTATCGTGAACTTGGAGTCGTCAGGTGCTGCCACTAGCCCCGCTGCTCCCCCTCCAGAAAAGAAAAGGAAGTTTAAAGAGGGAGAGATGACCTCTTCGAAGAGAAGCCGCTGAGAAGGCAACGTTTCTCATACTCTGCCAGGGAGGTCGACTTTCATATCAGCTCTTCCCAACGATCGGTGGTGGAGCCGTTATCTGAAAGAGACATCGCCAATGACGCCTTGGAATTTTCAAGTCGAGGGGCCATGTTGGTTTGGTACCTTCGCAAATTCGCCGACGACGAGGCGCTGGGGATGTGTAGGCTGAACTGGTTGCAAAGAAGAAGGTCGTCAAAGACCTTCGAGCTCAGCTGGAAGCTCTCAACCTCAAGCAAAAGGTGTGCGAAAAATAATAGTCTGAGTTGTAGGAGAAGTTGAACGAGGCACATCGGGAGCTGACAACGACTATCCAACAACTGAAGGACGCCTGGGCTAGGAGTGATCGGATTGTGGAGGAAGTTGGCCGACTTAAGGTGGAAGTGAAGCGGATGAGAGAAAAGGAGAAAGATCTGCTAAGTCAAAGTGACAGTCTGACCGCGGAGTTGGTAAAAGCCAATGAGGCGATCACTACTTTAAACATTAACGTACAAATTGAGCATGAAGAGAGTTTTAATAACGCCATTCGCCAGGCGGCCTTTCTGTTGGGAGTTGACCCTTTGGCCTTCGGTTTTGATATTTCCCAGGATGTGTATCATGGAAATATGCTCCCGGTCGGAGGATCTCTGGTTGACGATGAGGAGGTGGTTGACCATGAAGGTCGTGCGGATGATGGACCAGCCGACGACGGGAATGCATAATTCACATTAGTGGGGAGAGGGATAATTTTTGCTTTCATGAACTCACCGTTCACCTCCCGACTAAGTGAATGGTTCACTTAAGAACTCGATTTCTTTCTATGGACCAGGCGGCAATGGTTGTTTAATGAACTCGCCATTCACCACCCAACTAAGTTAATGGTTTACTTATGAACTCGATATCTTTCTGCGGACTGGGTAACAATGGTTCTTTAATGAACTCGTCGTTCACCGCCCAACTAACAGGTAAATGGATAGCTCTTGGCAATTCTTCCTATTACTAGTCCACCGGTAATGTGTTGGCGCTAAGTGAAACACATATAGTTAAAATCCTGATCATTGTATTACCTTCTAAAAAGGGAGAACATATTACAACAGTAATTTTAACTAAAATAAAATTTCAAAAGTGAAGCATTCCACATGTTTGGGATAGGTTGGCCGTTCGGCTTGGCGAGACAGTAAGCCCTATTTTCAAGGTCTTCGGTAAGTCCCTTCCATTTTGTGGCAAGCTTTCCATGGGTGGCCGCTCTTCGAGGATCTCCAGTTTTCCTCTAGACTAAGTCACCTTCCTTGAAGCTCAAGGGTCGTACTTTGGTGTTGTACTTCCTTTCCACGACTCGTCTATAGGCTTCCGCTCGCAAGAACCCGACCGATATGATAAGATGCTACAATTGAAAGAAATTATTCCGGACTTAGGTAACTCCACACTGTAAACAATAATAGTTTAATGCAAATTCAACGTGAGTTTCAGAAGAGATACATTACGTGTTTTATGCTAATTCTACGAGTTCTCAGATCTGGTCAGTGATACACTTCACGTGTATGCGGTTTTCATTTGTTGTGAAACGAAATGGATTGCGGAGACATTATAAGAACATTGTGCAGAGAAGTTAGGTGGACAATTAATTTTGTGTATTTAACTTTTATTTTGATACATTGAATCATCCTATATTACTTAGTAATCAAATAATTTAAATTTTTTTCCTTTTTCGGAATACAATTACCTTAACTAAATACTATAATGTTGAAAGAAAGAGGTGACATGATAATAAAAAAATATACTTTGACCCACGTAAATTTTTTATATTTATTTGATACAACAATTTTATATTTTTATGATTATTTTACTTTATTATATGTATTAATTAAATATAAAAGTTTGTTATTATACTCTTACTCTAATAAGAGATATGATATTCTTTTGGAATGATATAATAATTATTTTTATTACTTCTAATAATCTTACATGATTTATAAGAAAAAGTCAAAGACAATGTAAATATTCTTTTATATTTTCATTTTTTAAAACATCTTTTAAAACAAAATAGTAATAGAAATAGTCTCCAAAACAAAACAATACGATACCTTGAATGATTATTTCTAATAAGAAGATTGCATCTGCAGTAACCATCTTTTTTTTATTATCTCTTATCCGTTTTCTACAATAATGGGTTTCAAATTTGTAATATGTGATGAAAAATATATATTTAGTATCTCTTAGTACATATCATTTGTATATCATACCACTTTGTTAATAAAAAGTATATACAAACGTAAGAAATTAAAGACATTTTTTGATAATTTCACTTGAAGCAATTCATTAACATAGTGTTCTACTTATAATTAAAGTATTTTGACTAAAGTTTCAAGGAAATTGGTGTTTAAACTTCATAATTATATATGATGTTAGTGGTAACGTTAAAGTTAAATTTTTGTAAAAACATGAATTAATTGATAAGTATAAACATTTATTGCTAAGGTTGGAATACAACACTATTTAATTAAATTGAATTCATTATTCATAGACATACGAGTAGATTTAGTTTTTCGTTGGTTATAATATAAATAGGAATGAAAATGGACCGAGAGAGTTGGATGTTAGATGTTCTCATCTTCTAAATAAAAATACATATTCATTTTTATCTATACTCTTGGATCTCTATTTCATATTATCTTATAAATAATTTTTAGAAAGAGAATATACAAGCTAAGCCTGCCAAAATAACACGTAACAGATATTTGCTTTACTCATAACTAATGTTAACATTAGTGTGGAAGACAGATTTTCACTGGATTAATTATTGTTAAATTAGCCACTTATTAAGATTAGGCTCAACCTTAATCTACAATCTGCTTTTGAATCTGGGAATTGGATCTATCAGGAAATCTTAGACATTCCCATTCTTCATCATTCACATTGCCAAAGTATTGATCCACCATTTCTTCACTAACCAGCTCTATTTTTGAAGGCTTCCACTGATAAACATATCACAAAACACCAAAATCAATGAGCTTTTAAAAAAATATATTTACCCTAATATATCCACAGAACAAGAACATAATATACTCTCTTACCTTGGGTATATCACCTTTATCAATCATCTTTACTCTTGAACCCTATGCACACGATTTTAGTGAACAAGGGAGGGATTTTTAGTAATATAAAATTAATCTCTTCATTAATGAATTATTAATTCTTTTTTGTAAGCAGAAAAATGAGTAAATAATAATAATAATGAAAAGCCAAATGAAAAAAAAAAAAATGCATTCAAATTATCATACCGTAAGGATTAGCAAAAAGGAAGAAGATAGAGTAGGAAAAAAATATTCAATCAAAATTATATATATGTCTATATATTTGAAGGTAAAACTTTATTGCTAAAATATTTAGCTCATATAAATCGACGCCTAAACTTTTTCTTGCCAAGTGACAGAAAATGTTATAATCTCTATAAAGGCATTGATCAAGGTTTTCTTCCCTTTCTTTCCTGATCTGAAATGCATCAAATCATTTAAATTAGTAAATATTGAGACATATATTTATTTGTACAACATTGAATTCAGTTACTATAATTTCGATTTTTATCTTTAATTGATTGGTGTATAATGTCAATGAAATAAGAGTCATCCAAGCAATTCAAAATAATTAAACCTTTATAATTAACTTAACTAAATATATTAGATAATTTTCCTTAAGTTTATTGAGGCCTAACTCCTTTAACATCTTTCTACTTAATATATCCATATCCAAAAAAAACACAATTGTGTGATAGAAAACTTAGTGTGGCCTTATAAAATGGACGTAAATTAAATTTTTCTAACAAGATTCCCATAAAAAGAGTAAAAGTAGTAGCATTTATTAATATTAGAAAACATCATTAATTAAAAAAGACAAACAAATAATTATGTCAAAGCTAAAATTAACCAATAATGGGATATATATGTATAATTGAATTTTCCTTTCTCTACTATACTTACTGATTTCAAAAATATCTTGAGGCTAGTAGGACAAGACGTATGCATGTAGTCTAATGCATTTTTTATCCATTCTTCAGCTCCATTTTCTAATTCAAGTTCCTATAGATTATGAACATATACGAGTCAAAATGTTATATACTTATTCTTCAAAATATAATGAATACAAAATGTACATATCTAAATACTTACCAATGATTGAATTATTTCTTCCATCTTTCCTTTTGAGAAGCATTTGTTTATAGTCTCTAATCTTTTTTTATTTTATGACAAGAATATTAATGTGTCAATTCTCATAAAACACAAAATCTCAAGACAACAACCATAATTTTGCCTGATTTACCTCCAAAGACGATTGTCTTCTTCTACATTTGGTTTGTCTGTGAACTTTTGTAGTAGTGCAGTGATTGTTGAAACATTTGGAGAATTAACCACTTGTAAACCATTTTCCAATGACTTCAGCTTCTATTGGAAGAAAACAAAAACAAAATTCTTCATTTTAGCTCTTCCACTATCTTGACATATTCAAACACTCAATCCTCTTTATCAACTTTGGCTTGCTAGGCTTGAGTTCCTTGTCTCTCATCAAAGGATGATGGTGACTAGTCTTTCTCTTTTTCTTCTCTCTTTCTTCTTCATCTTTCACTTAGCACTTGGAGCATCTTCAAGGGAGGAACAATTTGGGGCAGCTTGTGATGCTCAACATAGTTGTCTCCTTGTGTCCTATAATTCCTTCAATCCCAGGGTCTTCATGATGTTTTTGAGGCTGCAGTCCTCCTTGTATAAACATCTCCCTGCATACACTTAGGCACAACTAGGCTAAAGCCACATATTAGCCCAATTAAAACTAAAAATCTATTTACAACAAAAGAGTTAGTTCTATATACAAGATCAAGTCTACACAAGTTAGAAACCTCACAAAAGTCTAGTATTGACACGAGTCCCCGGCAACAGCGTCAAAAACTTGTTGGGAGGTTTTGGCAAGTGCACCGAATCGTTTCAAGTAATAAAACATGGTAAGACCAAGTATCGTTTTTCCAAGAGACTAGTAATACTAGAGAATTGTGCGATTAACAACCTATTCAGACTCAATAGAACAACATTCATTTACAAGCATGTGCAAAGAGATAAATTCACAATTAATTACAAGGTTGGACTTTGGTATTGAAGGCACATAGATATGACATAGACTAGAAATGATATGAGATGACATTGTTAAGGTTAGTTTTCACCTAATTCACTCTTGTGCTTACCCAATTTCATTTCCTCTCCATCAATTTACTAAAGTCAATCCACAAATACACTCTAGCCCTAATCCCTTAGGTGAAAGAGCCTAGGTTTTTCCTATTAAACTCTAATCACTTGGAAAATCTAACGAGCAAACCCGCATTAAAGAGTTAGGATCTTAAGACAACATGTGAATCATCTTCCATCCCTAGAATCAATGACCACAAGGATTCTTGTTTCAGTTATAGGTTTCATCTTATGTCTCCATAATTTATAAAACCCCAAATTCAAGTCATGAACATTAATATTATATTACAAGAAAACAAAAACGAAATTTAGATTATGTTTTTTAAAAATTCATATAAATCACACTAAATTTGAAACCATATTAATACACTAATCCAAAATGACATGTTATATCTAATGTTTAAGTATTGGTTTTGAAACCGATATTGTTTTAAGTAATATAATAAGTTAAGTACATATTATAAGAGTTGATAATGGGCATAAAAAAAATCATATTACATCAACTATAATCAAAATCGATTTAGTAATGAAATATTAATTGTTTGGACATGACATAATACATCGATTGTTTCTAAGAACTAATGTAATATATATATATATATATATATATATATAT